CGTTTATTCTATCCTTAAAATTCTCTGCATGAGCCGTAAAATGGGCACAGATGCCAATCATATTAACGCCGCAAAGCTCAAATCTCGCACTCACACCACCTTTGTTGCCCTGACAGTAATGAGAGACAGAAAGTACCATAACACCGGCATATCCTGATGCAGTAACTTCAGATTCAATATTAGTAACAGCAACGAGCAAATTTCGCTTTATAAACACATAAATCCATATTGCCCAGCAGTTACGCGATTTGATCTAATACAATGTAAAGAGGTAAAACTCACCAATACATAACCCTCAGGACAAAGATACCATTTTAGTTTCCTCTTCCAGACATCTTCCCTTGATGTCTCTTGAAGACTAATCTATATATATAACATATAACAACAAACCCAACAAATATAACATCTGGGTGTGAATCCGCATCAATTCCCAAAAATTTCCTCAAGTTATCTTTCGGAGGACCTTCATCGGCAACGTTCCAAGTAGCACAATGAACTCTAAAGACATTCGGTAGTGAAATGGAATATATGAAATCCTACATGAAAAAATTAAACTATAAATCATTATTAACCTAGCAAAGTTAAAAGTTTGTTTGACCTTGTTTTCGCAATTTTTCTGAGAGTCAGGAAGACCTTGTAGAACGCACCTAGTCCTTAAGCGTCTTATGCCATATTATTGGTGATTTTCAGCTTCAGACCATTCAATTTCGATAGCGTCGTCAGTAAGAGGCGCTATCGTTAGGATGGAGTTACAACTTACCAAAGCGACTAAGATGTCGGCGTAAACGTCTGGGAATGTACGAAGTCAATGGACCGATGCTGGAAATCACGAATACTATAGCAGAGGACAAAGCACAAGGTACATTCCACAAAGTCTTACTGATGCTCCGACCAAGTTGTGAAAACGAGGCTAAACCAACAATACAAAGCTGCAGAAGACTGTGACTAAACAGAAAGCCACACCAACTTAGTCTTCATATCTACGATCTATTTGCAAATTCAAATCTGGAAATTTTTGCATCGAGCATCTACCAACATTGTTCAATTTTGTCCCTAATTTATTAAAATAGTGAAGCCATTAAATGTATCCCTCTGTGCCAAATACAATCAAAATAGCTATGAAACCATGAAAAAATGAGTGGGGAATAGACGCAACTATAGGGATTTTTTACTGAGATATCTCGAACATCGACATACATGCGTCTAGGGGGAACACAGGGCAGAATAAATTGGTCTATATAAGAAAACATAAGAGAGCTATCATTGTCTAGTCCCCATAAAAATAGAAATGGAAATGTTTTTAAAAATTCTATCAGAATATTTAAATTAAAATATCTTTGATATGATGACCAAGATATTGTGGCCCTCGATATTGTCGTATTCTCGTTTCGATTTATAGAAGTGTGTTGACCTCGTTTTCGCAACTTGGTCTTTTTGTCAGGGAGACTC